TTTATAAGATTCTTCAAAGGGTTATGATTCCATAATTACATTCATATACTAAGCTTTCAAATTAATCTAAATACTTAATTCTATCTAAAACTTTTATCAATTAATCTAAAAGTAATGAATAAAATTCTTAAGAATTTTTTTTATAGTTATCTTTAGTAAGAAGCACTAGTTTTAATGAGTTTATTAGTTGTTATACATGTTTAATTTGTTTTTTTTTTTTCATTTCGTGAACTAATTTTACTTTAAGTTATCACATTTCTCTTTTTTAAAATTAACTATCTCAAAAAATATAATAATTAATATTTTAAAATGCAATAGGAATAAGTGAAAGCAAAGTTAAGTTTGCAAAAGATAAGAATACTTTATTTTATTAAAACTCCCAAACATACAATAATAATAATAAATATAAATATAAAATAGTAAATATGATAAAATTATAAAACAAATTTCAAAAATTTATAAAAATAACTATCCTCTGTCATTCCTCCTTTTTTCCCTTTTATGTTGTTGCAATTACTAGATCATACCACCTGTAAGGCTTACAAATTTAGAGGAGCTGCTCGTCCCCTAGTTCTTCTAAAACCCCAACATTAATACGAAGAGAGTATAATAAAGAAGGGTCACTAAAGCCTATAGAAGTTCACCTAATCATGTAAAGCGAAGATTGGAGAATAATGTTTCCAACATCTATGGTGAGTTTAGTCCAAATGGAATAATTTAGAAAGGCCCTGCTCTGAGTAACCTCACTTCTATTGGTGCTTGGCATTAACCTTGCTGAGATGAAGTAATAAAAAGCTTAAGAGACTTGGGTTAGTGTAGAAGGATGGAATTTTACTATTTTATGCTCCCTAATTTTCCACTATGGATTAGAGTTAGTTATAAATAGTGAGGGCTTTATGGATTTCATCATAATTTACTGAGTCATTGACAGAGGATACATAGTCACCAAACTCCTAGTATTAGGTTCCATAGATTCCATTAATAGTAACACTATTGAATGAGATGTTCCCCCCTAACAAAGACATTGTTATCCCGAGCCTCATTTGTATTTGCAAAGAATTCCCTAATAATATGGACTATGTAAGTAATGGGTTTTGTATAAAGCTCTCCCAACTCCTAGTTTCTATTATATATTTAGCCTACCTTGAGACTCGTAAGACCCCTCATGGATATTAGCTGCTTATAAATAATAGATTTATTATACCTTTGTTCCATAACAGAGATAGCAAATTGCTCCTTTTCATAAGAGGAAGAAGACTATGATGACCTTTCTTTTCTACTATCATCTTTGAAATGTAACATAGGAAATGGTGGTGGCGATCTTTCTACAATTTCCCTTAAGATATTTTCTACGTTCTCCTCTAGCTTAGGTTATTTTATAGGTTGGGTGGATTCTATTGGAGCTTCTTCACATTTCTCTTCCTTAGACTTATCTTCCTCCCTAACTTCCTCCTGTAACTCTGACCACTCCTAAATTGAATGGCTTTTCACTGCTATTTACCCTTGTCCTTGGGATTAGCCTCGGCATTTTTAGGAAGGGTTCCTTGGTTTATATTATTAACTGAATTAGCCAACTAACCTAAATGGTTCTCTTTATTTCTAATTGCAATATCTTGGCTCTGAAGTTAGGTTCCCAAGTAAAACACGAAGTATACTAAGAAATGCTACTTACCCTTATATTAATTATTAGTATTAAATCTTTGAAGATAATTAAGACAATAGTTTCAAAAATGTGTTAATCCTAATTTAAATTTCCTATAATATTGGGTGGGCTATTATTCAAATTACTACCCCCATTTTGTTCTTATTCTAGTAACTTCTAGTGATTCTTCAAATCAGAGTTGTATATGTTAGAGTAAGGGTTATTTTGCCAATTATTTATGGAATATAAAGATACTAATGATTGATTAGGTTTATTGGATGGTCCATAATGACTCTCATCTACTAATATATGTTCTCCATAAATTATACCAGTTATAAGATGATCTAACTTTATAAATAAAGCATCAGACTCATAGAGTTTGACAACTTTCTTAAGTTTGACTCTATTTAAAGCCCATTAAAAATTATTAGTGGTCATCTCTTTGATTTAAGCATATGCTTCATCAAAGGGCTTGGAAATTAATAAACATTTAATAGTAATATCTATGCTGGACATAAGGTCCATTATAAAAATGTTTGAATGACTAACCAATCTAGCAATGCATGATGTGTAATTTTTTTTAAGTAACCTTATATCTTTCCCATAATTTATAAATAGAATCCCCATCTAACTGAGTAAATGTTGTAATTCTATTCATAAGCATAACTATTTTAGATGTGGAAAAATATTTTGTTAAGAATTATGGTCAAAATCATACCATGTAGTAATGGAGCCCAGAGGGAGGTAAGAAATTCAACTATTTATTTTCTTTGTTCCTTAAGGAAAATTGGACAAATTCTCAATTATGCTTTAATTTCTATAATGCATATGTGATTGAATCATGACTATTGTGAGATATAAGGACCAAGAATCCCTTAAGATTATATATGTGTTTGTTAATCTTGGTATATATGACATTTTCAAGTGTCTATATTCATGCTCTAGTATTATAAGCACTAATGGAGTCATAAGGGTTCATAATCTTTTGAGATTTTATTTGGGTCTTAAGAAAAAACTAATATAGTATTTGTATGAATTGTTATAAGATATGAATTTTAGTTTCCTACTCTGTGATATGATTTTAGTTTGTTTAGTATCTCATTTTTATGTTTTGAATATTTGGATAATGATAAGTGTAAATAATGTTATGTTTTATGTGTTAATTTATCAATGCAAATATTCAGTTTTAATTGTGTTTGTGTAGGAAAATATAGGAAATGGGAAAAATTTTGAAGTATGGCACATGCCACAACGTCATACATAATACCACTTTGGCACCACCAGAGCACTTAAACATGGACATGGAGGCGCATAGTCTCTATTTGACAGCGCCATAACATTAGAGGGGTTAGCACTGTAAAGCCCAGACAACTATCACAACATCATAGTGTCGAAAGAGCCATCATTGTAAAGCCCAATGTCTTTCTCTATGATATTATGATGCCAAATTCCAGCACTGTTGAGTCAGAGGAGTACCATGCAGACTTCATAGCACTCAAATACCAGTGACATCATAAAATTATAGTTGTAATTATTTAAGCCACGGTCTACTAGTGAAGTGATGCATTTATTCATTAAATTGTAGGTACATGTTAGAAAGCATTGTAATAGAGTCAATACTTTAGTACTGTGGAAGTGTCTCGAGCGCCACAGTGCCAAAATACACTTTTTGTATTTTTTTATAAATAATATATTTTTTATGGTAGTAAGAAAGTTTTGTCAGTTAAATTCTAACTTCGGTGTGTGTCCCTAAAATTTACATAGGAGTGACAACTAAGGGAATTTTGGGAGCACTAGATCCACTTCTTTGGAGTAGTTGGTCAGTGTTTGTGGAAGCAATTCTATAAGTTCGAGGAGTATATAAGAGAAATATGAACCATATGGTGAAAATGTGTTCTCTCCAATTATTCTTCACGTCCGGCTAATTACGAAAGTTTTGGATTGATGGAGTAAATTAAATATGGAATAATAATAATTTCTCTTAATTTTTAAAGTAATGATATGATATTTTCAATATACCAAGTCCTTATTTAATGAAAATAGTGGCCATATGTGTAGTTAATATCAAGTGTAATGTATAGTCTAGGATTAGGAAAATAAGCACAACTGGGTATGTTGGATTTGTATGACGCAAACATATAAATAATGCTTATCATCTATCAAATTTATAGAGATAGATTGTCATGAGGGGGTTATTTATAGTACATGCTTTACTTCTCTTCTAAGATTTTCATAGGTTTGATAGACCAAAAGAATTTAAAGTGGTATTGAGAGTGGAATGTGTTTAACCTATCCTTTCTCTCTTCAGGCTTGACTTTGCAGTCAATGATGCATATACTCTTAATAACATCACATTATTAAGAGAATCAGTTAGAAACATACTAATTTAAATTTCATCAATCCAAAATATTATATTCATATAAGTGTATCTATTACTTTGTTATAAAATTTACTTAAGTGATTGAATCTCCATCAAACCTTATTTTTATTAAGTAGGATAATTATTGTAGTTAAAGTTAACAGTAGTAGTATTTGCAAGTAAATATTCTTCCTCGTTGAATCGATACTCTACTCTATCGCTATATTACTTGATTTGACACTTATACTTACATGTACAAAGTCGGGTTTTTATATCAAAAAAAAAAAAAAAAAACTAAGCATTATTTAGGGATTGATAGAGCCCTAATTCATATTCACAATTCATTAGGTTACTCCACCGCCCCTATCATGTTTTGGGCACCACTGTCGGGGAAGATTTTTTTTTTTTATTTTTACAATTACTATAATTTTGAATCAAATGCATAATTAGTCATACTATATTCTTTTATTTTTTTTATTTCAATTTACTTATTATATATTTATGGTTGCAAACTTACAAGATGTATGGGGGAGGAACATTTAAGTTTTGATTATAAAATTGAGAGAACCCTTTTTAAAATTAGAGTAACCAAAAAGATTTTAATATGGATAATCAAGTTCAAAGCATAGAACATTCAATACATCTTAAGGATTTTACAAACCCATTAGTAAATAATATTTACAAAAGAATAAATAAACCCACATAAAAGCAAATTGTTTTGAATTAAAACATGTAATCATTTGGATTATACAAAATTTTTAGTTTGGGAGAACTCCCGTTAAAAACCCTAACTTATATTTAGCATGTTTTTTAGAAATTTGTGTAACATTTAAGTAAATTTATGCTAGTGATGATGTCATTAGAGTTATATTTTTCCCATTTTCTCTAGGAGACAAGGAAAAAATGTTGTTAAATTCTTTACCCCCACACTCTATTACCACATGGAATGAGTTAACCCATAAATTTCTAGGAAACTATTTCCCACCTTCTAAGACTACCAAGATTATAAATGACATTACTTCTTTTACTCAGTTAAAAAGAGAATTTATTTATGAGAGTTGGGAGAGTTTCATGGAGATGCTTAGAAAGTGCCCTCACCTACCTTACCTAAATGGTTGATAATTCAAACTTTTTTTTACAATGGATTGGTAGCATCCCTTAGATCCATAATTGATGCTATAGTTGGAGGTTCTTTGATGTCAAAGCCTTTTGAGGATGCTTATGAATTAATTGAAGAAATGGAAATAAATAATTTTTTGTGGCTTGCTTATAGGGTGAATCCTAAAAGAATGGCTAGAGTTTATAAAAATGTTTCTTTATTTATTTTGACTATTAAGTTGTTGTTTTTTTAAAGAAATTGGATGAATTGATAGTTAATATTGATCTTAAGAGATATAGCATCGCTGCGCCAATATATATAACATTGTAGTGCTTCCCCATAGAATCTAAAAAAATATATCATGAAAGAAAAAGGAATGAATCCTTGGAAGATATTATTCAACAGTTAGGAATGCAACTGAATAATCAATCTAATGCTATTAAGAAATTGAAAACAAGATAGGGTAATTAGCTAGGTTGATTCTTTATCAAAACTTCATAGAATAATGTTTTAATATCCAACTTAGAAGTAGAAAAATGTTAGGAGACACTTATAAAAAGAAAGACTAACCCTAGGATATGGATGAAAAAGAGGAGAAACAAGAAAATAAGACCTAGCTTGAATTAACTTAATATATTAAAGGACTAGAAAAGGTTTATGAAAGAGTTGTTGAGCGACCACCACTCCCTTTCCCTAAGAGATTTATTAATTTTAATAATTAGTTCTCAAAGTTCATAGAAGTATTTAAAAGATTAACCATTAATATCCCCTTCATTGATGCTTTAAAACAAATACCCACTTATGTTAAATTCATGGAGGATATTTTAAGTAAGGAAAGGAAGATTTGTGATTTTTAAACTGTGCCATGAACCAAATAATATAGTTCTATACGTTAGGTTGATTCCTTTAACTTTTGAAGATAAATTCTTTGGGAGAGCTTTGTATGACATAGGATCTCATATTAACCTCATGCCTTTTTCCTTTTTTAAGAAGATAGATATAGGAGAGGTTAAACCTAATTTTGTTACTCTTCAATTGGCTGATAGATCTTTTACTTATCCAAAAGGAGTAACATAGGTTGAAGGTTGCTAAGTTCATTTTACCTGTTGATATATATTATTTTAGGCATGGAGGAAGATAGGGAAATACCTCTCATTTTAGGAAGACCTTTCTTAGCAACATGAAAAGCCATTATTGATGTTGAAAAGGGAGAATTACCTATAACAATTTAAGACCAGGAAGTGATTATTGATGTATTAAAATCAATAAAATTCCCTCAAAGAAGAAAAGAAGATTGCTTTAGGGTGGATGTGGAGGATGTTTTAGTAGAAGATCTAAAAAATTGTTGGAAGGAAAAGTGACTGAGGAAGAACATGATAAGCAAGAACAAAATATATCTAATATGCCAATTGAAATAAAATTTATATAAGAAATCAAGACTAAGTTCATTTTGAATTGTTGGAAAATTCATCTTTAGATAATACTCTAAAACCATATATTAAAGAGGCCCGAAATTTAGAACTTAAAGCTTTACCTTATCTTCTTAAGTATGCATATTTGTAAGAAAATTCATTCTTCCTATTATCATTATTATAAACGTAGAACAACATCAAGGGATTCAATTGATTAAGGTTTTAAGTAACTATATGATAACTTTCGGGTGGCCTATTGCTGGCATTAAATGAATGATTCCTTTCATTTATATGCATAAAATATAAATGGAAGAAAATTCTATACGTAAAGCTGATGCTCAAAGAAGGCTTAATCCTTCAATGAAAGATGTTGTTAAAAAGGAAATTATAAAATGGTTAGATCTGGGATTTTCTACCCAATTTCTGATAGTTCTTGGGTTAGTCCCATTCATTGTGTTTCTAAAAAGGGATGATTGACTATTATATCCTAATAAACATAATGAATTAATAACCAGTAGAGCTATCACGGGTTGAAGGATATGTATTGACTTTAGGAAATAGAACAAAGAAACTAGAAAAAATCATTTTCATTTGCCATTTCTTGATCAAATTTATGATAGTTTAGTTGACAATCAATTGTATTACTTTTTAGATGGATATTTTGGTTATCATCAAATACCTATTACACTTGAGGATCAAGATAAGTTCAATTTCACAAGACCATATGGAACACTTTCTTTTAGGAGAATGCCTTTTAGATTAAGTAAAACTCCTACTACTTTATAAAGATGCATGATGTCCCTTTTTTTAAACTTAATTAAGCAAGGTATTAAAATATTCATGAATAATTTTTTTATATATTTACACTACATTTAATTCATGTCTAGAACACTTAATTATTATTTTAAAAGGTTGTGTTGAAACCAATTTAGTGCTAAATTGGTAAAAATGTCAATTTATGGTAACTGAAGGCATTGTCTTAGTGCATAAGTTTTCTAGTAAAGGATTAGAAGTAGATTTTGCAAAAAATTAGGTAATTAAAAAACTTCCTCCACCAAATTCTATTAACGGAATTAGATGTTTCTTAGGATATGTTGGGTTTTAAAGAAGATTTATAAAGGATCTCCCAAAAATTTCTAAGCCTTTATGCCATTTATTAGAGAAAGATGTACCATTTATATTTGACTCTACATGTCATAAAGCTTTTAATACTCTTAAGCATCATTTGACTACTGCTCATATTATTATTGCTCCTAGTTGGTCTTTATCTTTTGAAGTAATGTGTGATGCCAATGATGTTTTCGTTGGTGCAATTTTGGGGCAAAAGAAAGATAAGTTCAAATCTAATTTGATTGGGACTAAGGTTAATATTTGTATTGATCATTCGACCATCAAATATCTTATGATAAAGAAAGACACCAAACTAAGACTGTTTATGTGGATTTTATTATTACTAGAATTTGATGAAGAAAATTTTAATATAAAGGGTTCTAAAATTCAAATTGCTTAAAATTTATCTAGATCTGAACAACATGCATTAGTTGAGGTTGAATTTAAACAAAAATATCTTGATGAATAATTATTTGCTCTCTAGTTAAACAAATATGCATTGTATATTGATATTATAAGTTTTATTGTAAGTGGAAAACTTTCTTATGAATTATCCGCATCTAAGAAAAGGAAGTTTGTCTATGATACAAAATTTTAGTTTTGGTATGAATCTTATTCATTTAAATCTTACAATGACCAAATCATAAGAAGATGTCATCTTAATGAGGAAACAATTTGTATTATTAGTGAGTCTCATTATTTCAACTATGAGAGACATTTTTAAGGATTTAGAACTGCTTCTAAAATCCTTCAAGATAGGTTTTATTGGCCTACTCTTTTTAAGGATGTGAATGAATATGTAGAAAGATGTGATCAATGCCAAAGGGAAGGTAGTTTAACTAAAAGAAATGAAATGCCAATGAATTATAATTTTGAAGTAGAAATATTTGATGTTTGGGGATTACATGTTGTGGGACCTTTTGTGCCATTGCATGTAAACCAATATAATATCATTGTTGTGGATTATAATTCTAAATGGATTGTAGGCATGGAAATATCTAAAGATGATGCTTAAAGTGTAATTAATTTCTTAAAGGAAATTTTTTTTCTAGATTTCAGATGCTAAGAGTTTTAATCAGAGATGGAGGAAGTCATTTTTATGATAAGAGAATAGAAAATATCCTCTAGAATTTTTGTATTTTTTATATAATAGCTACTACTAATCTTCCACAAACTAGTCGGCAAACCAAAATTAACAATGAAAATCAAGAGGATATTAAATTGGATGACGCTTTATAGGCCAATAGAATTGTATTTAAAATTCCAATTGGGACTCCTTATAAATTAAATTTTGGGAAAGCTTGTTGTCTTCCTATGTAATTAGAGCATAAGGCATTATGGGTAGTCAAAGAATTGAATTCAAATATTAGAAGTGTCAAAGAAAAAAGAGTACTATAATTGGGTGAATTAGAAGAAATTAGAAATGAAGCTTATGAAAATGCAAGAATTTATAACAAAAGAGTTAAAAAATGCCATGATGAAAAACTTATTAAGAATAAATCCACTCTTGGTTAGGATGTTTTACCTTTTAAATCTAGACTTATGTTATTCCGAGGAAAATTAAAATATAGGTGGTCAAGGTAATTCCCTGTTATAAAAATATTTTCCTTTGGGACTGTGGAAGTATAAGACAAGAAAATCTTGCATATCTTTAAGGTAAATGGTCATATATTGAAATCATATTTACAAGGAGATATTAATCAATTAGAAGAAATAACTAAATTTGTTTATTATGAAAAGTAATGAATGGTATAATCTTTCTTAAGACATTAAATTTAGCGCTTTTAGGAGGAAACCGATGTATATGGTATGTTAGTCTCATATATGTTATCTCAATAATATGTCTTATTTTATTTTTAACATATGTTTTATGTGCTTTCTATCACACATATGAAATCCTGTGTTTGTAGTATTTGTTTATATGTTAATTTATAAATTAGCAAATTCCTTTCATGCTTAAATTATTATTATCCTCTCGATACTTATAAATTATGATTATTTAATTATCCCATGCAAAAATATTAGTTAAAAATTATGAAAAATTAGAATAATAATAAAACCCTAGATCCTAGTTTGAATGAACTCTATTTATATTTCATAGGTTGGAAAATCTAATACTTAACTAATTTAACCATTTGTGCTATTATCCTAATTTGAATTTATAAGTTTTACCTTTATTAATTTAACTTTTAAAAAAAAATATGACGAATAATTAGAATTAAAAATTAGAATCATAGCTAACTTGATGATGGAATTAATAATCTAATCAAGTTCAAACATTAAAATTATTAAGACTATATATAAATTCTAAAAGCTGAAGTTAATATTTAAATTCATTCATTATGTACTCCACTAAAAAAAGAACTATATGTAGTTCTTAAAAGGAATAAATAAATGAAAATTTTCAAAAAAAGAAGATGAGTACATTCAAAAATTAGTATTAGTAGGAGCTTAAAATTTTGACAAAAAAATCTTATACAAAAG